AAGCCAATTCACTGTCTCTCAGTGGTGCTGCAGCTGCAGATGTCATGCTAGAAAAGGGAGGCCACAACTGTTGTGTGGCCCTGGGAAGGACAGAAGGAATACCCTCAAAGGAAACCCTCCCAGCTTCCCAGGGTGAGGTTTCTCCTCCCACTGCTGCAAGAGCATCTCCTGGGTGTCCCGGCTCCCTGAGTCTGGGCAGGACCAGGGAAAATCCTCTGATTGCTCTGGGGCTCCGCATGGAAGAGCTGCACTGACCAACTCCCAGAGCACAACACCATCACCAACAACAGCCTTACACAACACTCCAAGCCTTGCAAAATTACTCATCTCTAGACAGGACATGAGCTGTCTGGGTGGGACCTGGCATGAGGATATAAGCAGCAAGGGATGAGTTGTCACAACCCATTCATTGCTCGTGACATCACAGTCCACTGCTCGGCGATGTCACAGTGCATCGGTGCCATCAGCACGCGCCGCTCGGTGATGCCTGCAGCGCTCTCTCCCTCTGGCGGCAGTCCGGCCCCAGCGCACACACCTGGGGTTACCGCAACACCACTGCCCTCCCATCCCCCCATCGCCTGTCTTCAGACACCGAGGATTCATGCATGTCTTCCCGCGGCCCTCTCAGGGCACTTCGGCAATGGCAGACGTCTCCAGGCATATGTTGCAAGAGGGTTCATCCAAGAACACCCCTTGCTTACTTGGGAGGCTGCAGGATAAAGTTCCACGGCGTCTTTTCCTACCTCTGGCACTCTGCTTCTGCAAGGGATTCCTCCTGCTGTTTACATCAAACAATTTCTACACTCCACCTGCAAGTTTGTGGTCCTTCATACTGCCCTGTCTGCACACCGCCTTAGCTGCATGAAAGGTCTTCCTTGCTTTTAATAGCTTTCCTTATCTTGTGAATGGGAGCCATTGCTAAACCTGTTCTCATGCTCTGAACCTTTCATTTTGTATGTCTTCTCATCATGCCTCCAGCATGGGGTTGTTCACATGACAGGCTTGGAAGCCACTTTTGCTCTTCCAGAGCTGATGAGACCCATTTTGAAGCTGATTCACAGTGACCCAGGCCTCGAGTTCATTGGTCTTGCAAGGATGACAAATCCACTGATGTTATAGCTCCCTGCAGGCACAAGACCTAGTGCCACATTTTCCCACTTTAAGCCTGCAAATGCAAATGGACAGAATCCAGAGTTTGCAGTCCAGCTGCTTTCTGCACTCCTCAGCTCTTAATCATATTCCAAAATTTGGCTACAAGTGAATTCCTGGAAATGCCTGGATTGCTGTGTTGCATGGCCATTTAACCATGCCCAGTGGCACAAACATGCATATCTCACTTCTCAGATATACACCCTGGAGCCTAGAAAATCATACTGAAAAGTCATACTTCTGACTATGGCCCTGAAAGGCAGTGGTGGACAGATACCTATTGATGCTTTTTGTATCACGAGCGTGGGGGAAGTGGGTGCCAGTCCTAGCACCAAGGAGTTGGGCTGTGAGCAATGATGTCCAGCTTCAGCAGAGGGATCTTGGTAAGCCAAGCAGCTGGGGACTAAGGGTAAACCACAAACACGTTTCATCCTCCAAAATTCATGAGAAGACACTGGTGTTACAAGGCAAAGCACATAACTTACTGCACTCCAAAGCTGGAACTTGGCTCCTCATTGGGCTCATTGCTCACCTGTACTTTGCCATCAGTGCAGGGGCTTGGAGATGTGGGTCTCTGTTCACAGGCTGTTGACAAGGAAGTAAACAGCAAGAGCAAACTCATTCGTCTGAACTGTGCTACTGCAAAAGGCTTTCCAAGAGATGATAAAACCAGGCCCTTCTGGCTGAGATCCTACAGAATATATGCATACCAGCCCCTCAGCTCTGGATGGATTCATTGCTTAGCCTCCCTCTCCCACAGAAGCAGATGACACGAATATAGAGACTAAGATTTTTCATCTAAGAGTTGTGAGGCAGACATTATCTTTTGTTGCCAATTCCCTCCATGAAAAGTTGGGATTGACTACTGCAGACTGGGGCTTGTAGAAAAGGTCCATATCAAAGCTCTACCTACAGGTTTGGGCTGTGCTGTGACCTTGTGAAGCTACGTGACTTGTTCCTTCTCCTTGTGCGGTCACTTCTCCTGTTGGTCACAACACTACAACTCAGCAAGCTTGGCACTGGACATCCTTCCTCTATGGGTAAGTATGCCTGTAGGTGGACTAGGTCTGCTTCTTCCACCATGTCACCCAAAGCTTGGTGCTGAGTTTCCCCAGCCAGCCCTTCCAGCAGTGGCTTGACTTCAGGCTAGGAGGCAACACAGATAAAGAGTTGGCCACAGTCACACTTAACTGTTGAGCAAGGAGAAAGGAGGATCTTTATATATGCTGCAGGTATATACTACCTATACTGCAGGTAGTGCTGTGAAGTGCAGCTGCTGGCTTTTGTCAGCTACTGCAGGCTCCAGGGAAGAGCAGGACCACCAGACCTTCTGCTCTGGTTCCCTGGAAAAGACTCAAGACTGTCTTAAATCTCCCAGAGAGACTTTGATTTTGATAAAGCTGGTTTTCCCCAGAAGTGGTTTGGATGAGTGATAAGTGAATTGGGGAAGTCTGGCAAATGTGTCAAGTGCTGGAGTGGATATGCTCTGCAGCACATCAGTAAGGTTCCTGGGGTTTCCACATGCATGTAAAGGTGCAGGGACTACTGACTGAACTCAGCTCCTCTCCAAGGACAGCGGACGGAAGGATTGTGCTTAGATCCCTCTGATACAGCAGGGCACACATGAGCAGGTCAAGTGACCTTGCTGGCAAGGCTGGAGATGCTGGAGGATGGGAAGGCCCACAGGATGTGAAAACCTGGCTGGTTAAGCAGGAAGCTGGCTGGGGGGATGCTGGGATGAGGAGGCTGGGGAAGTCAGCCATGGAGGGGTCCACTACTGATGCAAAGGAAGGCAGATGGTGGCAGAAGGCTATGCATGAATGAGGGTTCCCATGGCTCCCCATTCCTGCAGAGCCCCTATGGTGGGTGAGGTGACAATGGAGCTGCCACCCAAGTTCTGCATGCTCCAATTGCACATGGAACAGAGCTGCGAGGTGTGAGAAGCTCTGACAGTGTTAGGCAGGTGTGCAATAACCCCTTGTCCCCAAGGGCTAGGCCCTGATACTTCAGGTCCTGCTCTGTCCTTTCCCCACACAGAAAGAAGAGTAGCAAGAGCTGCAGTGCAGAGCTCAGCTGGGAGGCGAGTTTCCCTCCTCACCCTACATACAATGGCTGGGGCAGAGACTGGAGCTCAACCCTATCTCTGGCTCATCTGCACGGGCCCAAGGAGTGTGTGTGGCAGTGGGGAGCCCCACTAATGATGGAGGTACTCATCCAACCAAGCCGTGTGGACTGTGTCAAGCAGCACACAGAGCAGGAAGCTGAGGTGCTGGGGTTTGCACTG